AACAACCTGGACCATGGGTAGATGTCCCCATCTCTACTGAAAAAAGGGGGGGGGTCTGTCCGGAGTGCACTTAAGGCAGGCAGCCCAGGCTGCGAGCACGCCCTCATCTGGTCAAAGGTTAGAGTCTCAGACCAGCTGTCAGAGCCCAAACTCACTGTTCAACAAAAGATGAGGGGGGGGGGGGGTCAGTTGCACGTTCCCATCACTCAAACAAACACGTCGTCACTAAAATCCGACCGACAGCGCGGTGGCTGCAGTGGAACCCGTGAGAGAAGAGTCGCTCACAGAAGCAGAACGTTCTTCTCCAGCGGTTCCACTGTTGAAGGAACAGGAGAACCGGGGTTCCAGCCTCGAAAACACCGTCAAAGAAAACGTCACTGATTTGATGCAAATAAAAGGAGAAGGTGGGAGGAGGTGGGAGGAGGTGGGAGGAGGTCAGACCTCGTGTCGGTGACGGTCGTCGTGATTCACAAAATTCTTGTTTTAAAACTTTAAAAAACATGCTCACAGACAGGATGTACAACCGTGTACAGTCAAAGTCGACTGTTTCTTAACAAGGTCAGTCAGACCGGCTGTCTGTCTGATCAGTACCAGCAGAGGGCGCTGTCAGTCAGTCTGTGATTCTCCTTCACGTGGTCTGGAATCAAACTACAGACTGTCCAACGCTGACGTCACTCAACACCAGTGAAGGAAAACCACAGAGTTTGGTCGTCATGGTTACCCCGGCCTCCTCATCACTGCGCCTCCTCATGCTCCTCGCTGATGCACTGCTCCCAGGTGTGTTTGCCCTGCTCCTCCCGGTGGCCGTGGGGGGAGGTGAGGTGAAAGATCCTGCGGGGCAGGGGGATGGGCTGAGGGGGGAGCTCCTCCTCCGGGATGCAGCCCTCCCTCAGGTAGGGCTTCGGGGGCACGGCAGGAGGCTGAGGTCTGCGGTAGGAGACGTGGTGGGGGGCGTGGTGGTGCGGAGCAGGAAGCCCGTGTGAATGGCTGTCCAGCCCAGGGTGGGCGTGGCCGTGGCCGTGGCCGTGGAGGTGCGGAAGGCTGTGCGGGTGGCTGTGCGGGTGTGACGCGGGGCTGCGGTAGTGGAAGGGGCGGACCGGGTCCACAGAGTCCAGGTCCGGTCCACCGTAGTGGAGGTGCAGGTAGGTGGAGGCCAGGTACTCGTCGGGGGGGGACCACAGGTGGCTGGGGAGGGGCTCCAGGGCGTCGTTCCTGATTGGACCGGGCTCAGGGTACTGACCTCCGTAGTTGCTCTCACTCAGGGAGGAGACGCCGCTGCTGGCACTGCCCGACAGGGTGGAGTTACTGCCCCCCAGGGCAGACTGAGGGCTGGTGGGAGACCCTGGGATCGGGTGGAGGGGAGACTGGGGGAGGAAACGGTAATGTCAGAGGTCACCATCACTACATCATGGGGGTCAACTGCCCCCCTCCTCCCCCAACAAACAGGTCTGATGTTGTTACCTTTCGAAGAGAACGCACGGGCAGAGCCGGGGGGGCGGAGTCAGCGTTCTGATGGTGGAAGGCGTCACAGTGCATCAGGAAGTGTCCTGAAACCACAGCCCATAATATCAACAGCCATAATCACTGACACTCCTGGTTCTAGTCCCTAAAACGTACCTGGAGGGAAGGATCTGGGTGACACCGGGGGCAGGACTCCCCCCCCAGGAGGAGCTGACATGTAGGAAACCTGCTCCCTGTTCTCCCCCTCCAGACTCCAGCTGCTGGCAGCACTGGGGAAAACTGGGGGAGGAGGTGACAGCCAATCAGGTGACAGCCAATCAGGTGACAGCCAATCAGGTGACAGCCGATTCATTTTTACTTGAAGGTTTAAAAAGCAGCAGCTGTGAAGCGTTGTTGTTGTCAGAGCTCATGAAGTGAACTCAGCGGTGCCTCCTAGTGGACTGACTGCTTAACAACGATGTCAAACATTAGGTGCGTGGACCAGGTGTTACCTTTCTCCTGCAGACTGCTGTGGGGGTCCAGGCAGGGCTTACAGGGGCTGACCTGCTGGATTAAGGCACGCTGCAGGGGGGGGTTCTGGAGCAGACCAACAGAGACCTCAGATTACTGCTGTGAACTGGTGCGGTGTGGTCACCTGGTGTGGTCACCTGGTGTGGTCACCTGGTGCGGTGTCACCCACCTGTCCGTTCTCTGTCAGGCCGTAGAACATGGAGCTGTTGGTCCTGTCGCGGTGGGACGGCAGCAGAATCATGACCTCACGGTTGTGTTTGGTCTTATCAGGCAGAGACGGTGAACCTGACACAGACACAGACACAGACACAGACACAGACACGACGGCCATGTTTAACCCTGCCTGTCGTCCAATCACAGCAGCCACGGAAGTAACAGGCTAACGTTAGCCTAACGTTAGCCTAACGTTAGGCTAACGTTAGGCTAACGACACACACAGCTTTTATCCCAAAATGTTTTTAGTTTGTTTTAGTTTTGACATTTATTATTATAAACTGGAGTAAACATAAACGTTGGTTTAAATACAGAGACACGGAGGTTTTCACTGCAGTACCGACCTCTGGCACTGGAGGGAGCAGAGTTAATGATCTGAGAGGAGTTGGAGCGGATGGAGCTCAGACTGGAGGAGGAGGGGCTGGGCTGCAGGAGGACAGAAGACTATTATGGTCTGGATAACCACAGACTAAACACAGGGTCATGGCAGTGACCTTTGACTCTGACCTTTGGTGACCTTTTACCCCCCGTCTTACCTGCATGTGTAATGCGTCCTCAGAGTGCTCCCCCATCAGGCCGTCGGTCATTATGACCAGATTTCCTGCCTCACTGGACGTGTGAGACGACAGGGAGGAGGACGAGTGACGGATGGAACCCTGAAGGTTCAGAGGACTGGAAGACCAGGGGGGGGGGGGGGGGGGGGGAGTACGGTCAGATCACATGACTGTCAGAAAACTTCACCTGTCGTCCGGTCACATATTCTCAGCATGTAAACGTAGTAGTACTACTCTGACCGACTTAACACGCCACGGAATTCACTGGTCACATGTGCAGAACACGCCGTGACGTGTGCACCTGTGTGTGCGGCTCACCTGTGTCTGTGTATGAAGCGTACGTTCTCCGGGCTCATGTGGCTGTGAGGAGGGAACGCCCCCCTGAAGGAGTTGGCCCCGGGACAGCCTGCCGGTCCAAAGCGGTCCATGCTGGGAACGATCTGCTGGAACCCAAACACAGTGACGTCACTGAACAAACAAACGGTGGAAGAACGATGAGCCCAGGGATACTGCAGTGACATCACTTCCTGTCTCCCTCAGACTGACTTCACACAAACGCAGTGTTGAAACTAATGGACCTGTCAATCAACCGCATGAACTTTGACCTCTGTGTCAGCAGAAACCTTAAATCCACAGCGTGTTCATAAACAGCGGTGCGTTCAGGTGCATCAGTTCACTTCAACACAGAACAAACACAGCTCCTCACGTAGTGTAACCCGGTTCTCATCAGGTGGAACTGGTCCACCAGCTTCTTGTGCAGCGGACGCATCTCCGGATGCACCAGCTTCTCATGAACAGCCAGACCTACACCCAGGATGTGGACCTGAGAACACAGACGGAGAACCGAGTCAGGACCGCGCCGTGCTGTCAAGGTTCTGTTGGTCAGAGCAGATCAGTCGGTTCTGAAGGTTCTGAAGGTTCTGACCTGCTCCTGCATCAGGTCCTTCAGGTGGGAGATCCTGTCAGTGTCCTCAGGGTGAGCGCTGACGTAGTCCTTGTCAAAGAAGGCCTGGTGGAGGAGAGACACAGGAGGAGGTCAGGACCTCTGACCGAGGAGTCACCGCTCACCACACCACGCTCCTCCGTCACCTCCGTCACCTCCGTACCTCCTGATACCTGGCGATGCCTCCGTTGACGGCAGCATCGATGACGCCGTTCAGACACATGCTCAGAGGGTTGATGTTGCCGTGGTGCTGCCTGTGTTGGTATTGGCTGATCAGAGTCCGCAGCTCCTGGGTCTTGTTCTCCACCACGTAGATGGCGTTCTCCAGAGGACTGACCTCCACCTGGAGGATGAAGATGAAAGATGAAGAACTGATGTTCATCAGTGAGACTTCCTGTCGTCACAGAAGGAACTCCCAAGGAATTCTTAAAGTTCTGATCTAATCTCTAATGTCTAATCTCTAATCTCTAATCTCCATGAGCGCTGGTACACACCACTTCTCTCCTCTCCACCTCCGCCCAGCGAGAGATTCCAGGAAGTGGACGAGAGAGGATCAGAGTCGTTCTCTCAATCCACAAACTCTGTGAGGAGAGAACAAGAGAAGAAGGTTATGACGAGGTCTGTGATGATGACGAGGTC